AATATTTTAAAAAAGTAATTCAAAATAAATATTTATAAATATTTATCTAATAACTTACTAATATTGTATGCTGTCTGGGTTAATACTTTAAATCTTAACAGTACTTTGCGTAAGTATTTCATCACTTAGCAAAGTATTATATATCAGTATTTAAATATTGACAATGTTCTGCGTAAGTATTTTATCACTGGACGAAGTATTACATATCAATATTTAAGTATTGAAATCAATCATAACGTAGGATTTGTAACATTAAATATTGAAATACTTGAGTACTAAAAGTTGTATTTGAATCACAGAATATTACTAAATACTGTACTTTTAATACTGAAAATAAATAATTAATCAATGGTTCTTAGTATAATATTTCTATAAGGGTCTACTGCTGCATCTGTCATCAGAGTCTGTTAGCAGATCCTATCAGCAGTCTGACGGCAAATTAGAGACGCAGATGACTATGAATCTGTCAACAGATCCTGCTCGATTTCGACAGATTCTGTTACTAATCTGATGTTAGTTTGCGCACAGATTGCTTACTGGGTATGTATAAAAAGGGTAGAATGACGCGATAGCATTAAACAAATCTGATAGTGTGCTTCCCGAATGCATCCGTGTTATTGTATGGGATATTACATGGAAAGATGAAATTATATGTCTCATAAACACTTTATTCCAAATAGCAGGTTAAAGGCACAGGAATAAGGTCGCGAAACTCGTCCCAAAAAAATATGCAATATTGAAAAATATATAAAAGATATCTTATTAGAAATAAAATAGATATATTTATATTTGTCGTAAAGATATCTTATTAGACATAAAATAGATATATTTATATTTGTCGTACAATCTAAAATAATGATATAAATGTACGCAAATAACTTTCATTTGTCGATTGTATGGACGTAGAGCTAAGTCTATTCGTGATAAATTATTCGAAGTTTACGCACATAAAAATTTTGCTACATTTAATATGTGAGACGTAATCTATGATCACAAATCCAAGTATCGACAACCTCATGCCTTACATATTATATATACGAGTATACAAAAATCCTAGAAAATTTTTTAAATTTGTTATCATTCATGTTCAACATTCAGTCATTCAAATTTAGTACCACTGACTGTTTAGCTGCAGCAGATTTATTTTTACTATTCTTGTTCTGATTTCTCACTTTTTTCAAATCTTCCATCTTATTTTCGATGTCCACTCTTGTTCTAGCACGGACACCAGGACCCCAATTTACAGTAGGATTTTTTTGGAAGCGAGATAAATGTTTTTGCCGAGAAATTGGATTTGCAAGAGGATGTATATCGAGTGAAATCTCTATCGTTGACGATGCATTGAGTATTCGTTCGGCCGGACTATTTACAGCTAGCTTCTCTCTTTTCACAGGATGCTTTTTTTCCCAAGCGCGTACGATATCCCATATTACGTTATTTGATGCATTCGTCTTGATCGAGACTTTATTTGCGTGCGAATATGACACTTTATATCCTGCGTTTAATAACGCTGATCTGAACACTAACATTGGTGGGACCTGACATTTAACTATGGACATCAAGCGATTTAGATTATAATACAAAGGAACATCCAGTTCTTCATGTATCATAGTCAAAACACCTTTCATTCTTTTCAGCGTGCCCAGCTCCATGCTACTAAGATTGCATAACATTTGTGATACAAACGCTTGATCATGCAAAGGACCCAGCCATATTGGACCACCCATGTGCTGCCAGTGACGGCAATGTTCGCATAATTGGTCCACTACAGGTGCACATAATAATTTATAATTACTGGAAGGCTTCTTTGTTACTAATGTTTGAAACTTAATACTCTCGCATCCTGTACACTGATAAAGCATTCCTATCTTAGTAGAGTTTTCCTTGCATTTATCATGGCTTGTGAAGACTTTGACAAATACTCTTATATAAAAATCAACGCTTACAGATAATAATGGTATTATATATCGTCCATAACGCCCTGCATAAGATGCAATACATTGTAATAATATCCTTAACGCTATTTCGTGACAAGATTTCGATTTTATGGATATTGCTCCATATTTATAATAACAGGTTTCTGGACCATTGCCAGCTAGTACAGCCATGTCAGTAGCTGTAATCAAAAGTATTCCGCCATCCGATACACATTGCACTGCTCCATCTAGATATATAGAGGGGCAACCGTACGGATCCAGATCAACCGCATCGAAGCGATCACGTCTGTGTTGATACATCAATAACATAGCATCTTCTTGAGAAGGCATTATCAGATTTTCAACATTGTTATGTAATACGTTTCGTCTAATGCTTTCTACTGCCTTTACAGAAATGTCATTAGCTACAATCTGTCGGACATTTTTTATTTCCTTAGCATACCGTATACTTCGCAAACCAGTTGCTGATAGAGCCTCTAATATCGTAATACCTTTCTGGCTATCTATATTTATCTCTATATTGTGTAATGTATTAGTTTCATTATTCCTCTCTCTTTCTAATTTACTTTTCTGTGATATTTCATTCCATCTGTCTTTTGCAAATATTGTTAATACAGCTATACTGAGATCTCGGTTAAACTCTTGAACTGGATTGTAAAATACATTCTGAGTCATGACCAATATTTGTGCTTTTCCTTCACTTATGACAGGAATTTCATCAAGTTTGGCTTTCTTTGCACTCTGTTCATCTTCCATGCTTTTTATATGAATTAATGCTGAAACAAAAATACATATGTATATATAGCATGTAACATAATATATAGGTTTCACTTCAAAAATGGATTTAATATTTAAAAACAAGAAAGAAATCAAAAAGAAATTTACATAAATATATATTTGATTCGACTTTGTTCTTAAGTTATAGTTAGCTTTATTCAAATATAATTGTTTGATAAGTAAAGGTAATATAACTATTTTGTATTGAGCATTCAATATATGAAAAGAACATTGCTACTTAGAGAAATGAAGAAAAACGGCACTGGCATTTTTATTCTTATTCTATATCGTACATGGTTTACAATGCCTTTAATATTGATAATTAATTTTAATTTATATAAAAAAAATGTTGAAATTGTTAAAATTAATACATTTAAAAAAAATAACTAGTTCAAATTAAAAACTGATATGTTTAAAACTAACTAAATTATAAATTATTTTTAATTTTATTTTTAAATATTTAACTAATTATTATTCAACTCTTCTTTTCAATGACTTTAATATTGTTATATGTAGAATAATAAAAGAACTTGATTAATGACATTAATTTTTAAATATATGCATATTAATATACCTGAAAAATGCAACAGAAATAAAAATATTTAAATATTCTTTTCTTCAATTTATCATACATATGAGCTATTGCAGATGTTTTGTATATAGGCAGGTAAAATAAATTATAGTGCTTTAATTTATCAAAACAATTATATTGAAACACTGAACTATGCTAAGCTGTAATATGTGGCCTGTTCTTTTAGTTGCATTGCTGAACTAGTGCAAGTTAAAGTGAAACAAATATACTTTCTCTCACTCTAACTTATAGCACTAGTTCAGCAGTACAGCTGAAAAAAATAGAGCAAGGAACATAAAGTTAAATTGAACATATGTTTACGTGAACTTTCTTATTGTTTTGAATATTGTACTGAATTTAGCTTTGCTAAATTTTAGGTTCTATCATATTATATATTATAATATATAATACAAACTTATTTATAGAAATTCCATAGTAAAATGTTTACCTTCGTATATACGTCAAAAAATTTTAATATTTTGTACAACGTCGCACAACGTTAACACAACTTCACCGATATTTCGAATTAGAAAAATGTACATGTTAATTTATTATATATCATATTAATTTATACTTGATAGCATTTCAATATTTAAGTATTAATTAAAATATTTTGAAAATTATTGCTTACGCTACACTCGTTCTCGTTTCTTTCAAAAAATACTATACGAAAAAAATACTTTCGAAGAAGATACTATTTTCTCACAATAATGCGCTGTCAAGGTTATGTTTCGCCTAATATCTTCCTCTTTCTCTGGATGCAGACCTTCTTAGAACCATCGACATATAGGACTGCGTTCAGATTCCACACCCGGGTGTATTCTATTACTAGAAGTGCTATAATATATGTAACATATACTATAGTGTTTCTAGTAATAGAGTGTACCTGGATGAAGAATCTGAACGCACCCTAGAATGGACTGATAAATGAGATGGTGGGGGTAGGAACAGATGTAAAGTGAGAGGCAGACAATAGTAGAACACCTTCCGTCTTTTTTCCAAGTAGGAGCGTAGCGCATTGTAACAGAACTTTAATCATACTGATAATTTATGATAAATTTCAAAATAACTTTCAAAGAATTACTTGTAATTTTAGTCTAGTGTAACATTTTTAATATTTAAAAAATATTACTGTTTTATACATAACATTTCATTAATAATGAAATGAGAATGAGTATTGGCTTCTGCACACAAGACGCGGTAATGCTTGCCGCGTGGCGGAAGTTCACGCGACAGCCAATCAATATGCTGCTTTCTGTAATAACCTTCTAGCTCTTATGGAAAAACAACATATTGATTGGCTGTCGTGTGGACTTCCGCCGCGCGGCAATCACTACCGCGTCCTGTGTACAGGAGCCATATGAATACACATGTAAATAAGTAGGTAGAAAAAGAAATACAACTTGATATTATATATGCAATATTATTTATTAATTGGTTAACTGACAAAAATATACCATTTTAACTTTTGTATTACATGATATTTTCGAGCAACGTAATACGTAACAGAGATGTAGCGTGAAATAATACTCTCGCGTCTAGCTTGCGGCCTAACTTTCGTAAGATACAGTATTACTGAAATTCCTGCAGCCAATCAGATTTCAGTAAACAGAGACGGAAAGTGTCCTACTAGTGGCTTGGTTTACATCGTGCACTTAATACGCCTATTAAATAGTAACTTTCTATTAGATAATCTTAATATCAACGATGTATATAAATAACGGTATATTAAGCTGGTATAGTACTAATCAAGAAGACTTATTGTATCGATTGAATGCGTCATCATTGATATGCATTGTCAATATTAAGATTATTTAATAGAAAGTTACTATATAGTACGCGTTACTATATAGTAAGCCATTGGCTTGATTTACACCGTGCACTTGATACGCGCACTATATAGTAACTTTCTATTAAATAATCTTAATATTGACAATGCATATTAACGATGACGCATTCAATCGATACAATAAGTCTTCTTGATTAGTATTATACCAGCTTAATATACCGTTATTTATATACATCGTCGATGGCCGCGTTCAGTAGAACAAGTGATCAGTAAGCGCTCAGGGAGCTCTTGTATATGATTTGGCATATTCTTTTAGATCTCCAACTATACTCCAATCAGATGCAAGAGCTCACTGAGCGCTTACTGATCACTTGTTCTACTGAACGCGGCCGATATTAAGATTATCTAATAGAAAGTTACTATTTAGTACGCGTATCAAGTGCATCATGTAAACCAGGGTAGCGATCATGAATCTTTTCCCCTAGTGTGAACTCGTGAAAAGTAAAAATTTTGTAATGAACTCATGAAAGATGAAAACTTTCACTAAACTCGTGAAAAATGAAAAATTTAACGTAAATTTATGAAAATTGAAATTTTTTACGCAAAAATTTTGTTCAACATGGCAGCTGCATTCTTGGTTTTT